ACTTAACCTGTTAGTCACTTGGAAAGAGAATTACAGGGAAACATCGACAACAAAACAATTGTAGCATTAGCAAGGAAGCCAGCCGTTTCGTGTGTAAACGTGTATACGAAACAGTTCCCTTAGAATGTCCTCCACGAAGGCATCTCTCCCCCTTCGGCAGAAAATGTTTTGCCTTAATCAAATAAACCAAACCAGCCGCTTCGTTTTCGTCGTTCACCACTGTGGGTGTTCTCCCAAGGCAGGTTTTAACAACTAACTGGCTAAGTTGACAGGTATATCTTTATTTTTTATAAGATATCGTTGATTCAAAGTGGCAACAAAAATGGAATTCTGCATTGCAAGGCAGAAGGGTTCACGAATTCTTCCCGAAAATCGACAAAGACATTTCACTATGACCATGTTCTGAATCGATATATCACACCGCCAAATACTTCCACGACAAAGCCTGCGCCTGCGTTCGAACCCTGACAAGGCAGAGATGTTTGTATAGGTATATTATACGTGTGGGGGCATTCAGAATTCCTGAGAGGTTGATGGTAAGGAAAACGCGCTGGGAGACCCTCAGACCGCTCCCCGGGGTGTTCCTCCTCAAAATTGAGGCGGAAGATTAACAGTTAGCTAGGTTCAGCTATTCCTCATAAATTTCCTACAATACTACGGAGGTGCTGGGCTAGCTTGTACCTGTTAGTTGTTAAATAAACAATTACTTGTTTTTAAAGTATTTTCAATAAAAATTTTAAAGGCTATCAATACATTTCTCTATCTGTTTATTGAGATACTTAACAATTTTTTAATCAACTGATAACGAAAAGTGTATTTTCGCGAAGTATCAAGTTGATGGACGTATCTTTTTGGGTAAAACTGTTTGGCGCGTTTGTCCTATAATGGAAAATCATTAACATATAATTTTAAATCTTATTCTAAAACAGTTATTTACTGATTTGCGAGAGTTATTCATGAGTCAGTTATTTTCTGATTTACAAGAGGGGGGGGGATCGTTTTACGGTAACATATGCTCAATATTTTCAGTGATAATTACAATAACAGATAAATTTTATACTTTTGAGGAAAACAAATGTCTTGAAATAATATGTGACGTTCAGATTCTGTGGAAACTTAAGAGTTTAAGACTAGAAACAAAAATATATCCTGGAGCTATATGTGCAAAGTTTTTGATGACATTGTCAATAACAATAAACTAGCACGAATATTGAAAAATCATACAAATTTCTCTACCCTAACCCCTATGGCCGCGCGCTACATGGCTCCCGCTGCTGTGCGTTAATGTTTTCTTAACGTTTTCAGAAATACTGGTCTTCAGCAAAAGATTTGTAAATGTATGCCTTTATAACAGTCCGAAACCTGTAAAATTAAGTTAAAGGAAATTTTCAAATGGCAAATTACAGGTGGCTCATTCTAGTAAATCATATTTATCGATGGCTGAATAGCCGGTCTGCGAAACATTGGCGGCTTTTCACAGATTCTGTTCCTCTACCGGTAGAAACGGATTGTTCTAGGAATACCAATAGTCCACAAATAGCACCTATATATAATCTAGGAATACCACTTAAAACTGCATATATGTCTAATAACTAATTCCTTTTGAATGCAGTCGGAGATAACTATTGCTCATAATGAGCAGACTCGCGGTCAAATCCTAGTATACGGTGCAGCCTTGGCGCGATTTTGAAAATTATCGCCAACTCTAAAAATGATCCAAAGAACGTCTATATACTATACGCTATATACTATGTGTGTATGTACATATATATATATATTTTTTTGAATGACCCGTTTTACTACTCATCGTATATGTCCCGTTTTAATGCTCATCATAAAATCGCCAAAAGTAGCCAAATCCCGTGTGCACCGGATACTAGGATCAAACCAAACTCGCTAAGAAATTCGAAAAGATATCTGTTTATTTCCAACGCCTATCGAATTAATTTCACCTTTTCGTTGCCCTGCGTTGGCGACACGCTTTTGAGATTTGTCGTTCGTAGAATTCGGTCGCTAAAAGCATAGCTGACCTGTAACTGTTGTAATTCTTATTTTAACGCTTATTTGTATTGCTGAATTATTACTAAATGTTTACGTATGAACGTTTTATTATTAAATGTATTCAGTTTCGTTTAAATAGACCGAGAATGCTTGGATTTATTAAGGATATTTAAAATCGAAACTACACCATCCATTTTGGCGCCATTCTAACACAGGAACGTAAACAATATCCGTGAACTGGATTCCGAATATCACTCGTTGGCAAAAATATTTTTGAATCCAGTTCTTAACTTCTCAGCATCCATTAAAAATCTTATGCACCGTCTTTTTGAATCGCACCCAAATTTATAGATTCTCCTTGCTAAAACTTTTTGGCTAAATCCAATGCTTCTGTCCACCATAAAATATCTTCGAACACGCAACGAACATCACGAAAATATCTTCGAAACACGAGTTTTGGTTTGATCCAACGGTCTACGCATCAAGTTTCATTATCTCAGCTGGTGATGTATGCTTCTAAACGTCACCAGACGGCTTGCTAATGAAGCAATCAAATGAGAGAAACTTATCTGTATACAATGTCATTAAAATGAGAGAAAATAAGAATTTAAAGCAAACTGAAATAGGATCTGTACAGAACCAATGTTTTATTATCCATTTAAATACTCCGTAACAGAACCACAGCGAAGATCGAATACGGACAGCAAACATTCAACATACTATGGGACAAGAAAGAGGAAATCTTGAGTTGTACTATTTAGTAATAATGTTTATTTAAAATGCGTTAACCAAATAGAGCATTCTTATTTACAGGGAACTGGAGAAGTTATGCTGTGTAGTTACCAAAAATAAAACGTTCGTCAATGTCAAGTTACTTTGGATCGATGATACGTTTCGTATTGTCAACTGTATCCGACACAATCTTAATATCTGTAAGTAACCTGAGTACATCAACAAATGAACTAATACTTTTATTCGCAATCTGCTTATTTTTAGCTCAAGTTAAAAAAGATTGCGATTTTTTTCTTTCTCGTAGAAACAATCAATCGAGATCGCGGTGGGAAGTCTTGCAATGTTTTCGTCGGGGGTGTCACTAGATTGATATGCAAGATTATACATTAAAATGACTGCCATTTCTTAAGCAGTTTACGAAATCATTAGAACTTCAGTACGATATCACTCTCCTTTTATAATTAAAATTATCAAAGGTAATTATGATAGCCTTGTAGATGATAATCGCATCACATAAACAATCGTTGGAAAATCAACGCTGAAGATTTTAAAATACATCGCCTTACATTTATATCTTAGCAAAAGTTATTATAAAAGTAGAAATGTTCGACAGCAAGAATTCGCTATAAAAGGAACGGATCTTAAAATAAATTATCTTTAAATTTTATTACTTTTAATCTAAAATAACTGCAGGGTAAATTAAACTTATTTCTCCAACATGCTTTTTAATAGAGTTTGTATCTATTAAATCACCAATAACCTACAAATTTTAGAGCACTACGCAATGATTTCACTCACATGGAATTAAATAATAACACATTTTAGCTATTCTTATTTTATTCGTTTAAAATGAATAGTATTAATTCAATTTGCTTAATAACATACATTAAATTTTTGCCTAGCTACTAGCTTTTCGACAATACTTATCCGTACAGCTGCACGTTTTGTTAAATGCGAAACAAATGTTCAAAATGCACAACAGATTCTCAAATATTTCCTACTATTATACTGCAAATGTCAAAAGCTCTGTATTCGAAACCGCTTTACTGTTTTGATTACTATTTATCTCAACGTAAAGAACAACGGTTCGGAATATTCGATCGTTACAGTCAGAAAAAAAAAAAACCACCACTATTTCTACCTTCTGATCGTTTGCTCAATTATAAAATATCAGTAATCATTTTGACATAGCGGATATTTAAATTCACTTTCGTAGCTAGACATTAACGTAAGGTAAAATAACACGCCGAAGAAGTACTAATGTAGAAGTCAAACAACAAAAATCCACGTAATATTTGCAAATTTTCACAGGACTGGTTTCGATCGTTTTACCCAACCATCTCCCTCAGCTGTCAAAGTACAAATGAAGGAGATACGATATATCTTATTTAGCCAGATTTATATCGAAATCATAACAAATAATTACAGCATGATTTAATAAAGGGAAGAAATAAGAATACAACAGGATTTAAGACTACTCCAGGTAATTAAATGGTCTGGGACCTAGCAAATACGGAATGTTAGTTCGCGGTATTGTTTACATACTTAAATTTGTATCTCTTAGTAACTATTACGACCCCAAAATAATAATAAACTTCACAGTTCTCTTTTATATTTGGAGAGTCGGAATAAGCATATTCTTGCTCAGAAACGAAGCACTATATAATCACGTACAGATCATATATTATTTTTTTTTTTTTTTTTTTAAGGACGGGGGGGAGCGATCCTGAAGGGGGATAGATCATATACCGTTTTTTTTTTTTTTTTTTTTTAAGGACGGGGGTCGATCCTGAAGACGAATCCATATAGTTCTACATAAAAATATACCAATCTTCTGTTTTTACTGCTTTGCATGTGTTTTCTTTCACGAATAAAATCTAGCCTCCAAAATGTCACTAAATAATTATCGCTTTATTTCGAATTTTTCCGATATTTTAATTTTTCTGAGATTCTCGCCACAAGAAATTTTAAAATCGTAGTAATATACTTTCTTTTTATCAAAAATAAATCATTTAAAAATCATCGCTACTTAAGCAATAACTAAAACACACCAAGCAAAAATTTTTTAAAAAAATAATGCTTTTCTAAATGGTCCAAAATGGGAACACTGGTCACCGATAAGTGCAGAGTTGGCGAAGGAATCATACCTGTCCGAACTCAATTCAAAACATAATCGTAAATTTAAAAACCTTTATATCCAAAATTTTTGAATTTATAACTAACATTTCATGCATTTCTGACAAATAAATCAAACTTAGCTAACTTACTCGATGGTTAGAACGTTGTCACGATAATTATTATTTCCAGGACTCGACGAGATCGCAATACACACAACTCAAAACCTAACAGCGTACTGAAGCTCGAATGGGGAAAAAGATCCGGCCAGCCACTCACGTGTAAAACAAATCCGCAGAGAACAGCGCCACCTTCTGCGGTGCGGCAAGGAAGAGAAACTTGTCAAATAAAGAAAGATTTTTCCAACAAACAGTGGGAGGAAAAGCGCACTAGTGACCTATATCCAGTATTCTGCTCCGACTTTAAGGTGAGAGAATGTTGCTCAGAAAAACGAAATTGCGGAATTTGAAGCGGATGTGAACTACTCACCGCGACCAATATGTTTGGAAAATCTGTTCTCTCCTGGCGTGAGGCGATTTCACCGAATTACAGCAGAACAACGTTTAACCGAATAACAGAAGCGAAGTTATTTCGGATACCACACCTTTTGGGAGGAGGGGACCTATGTTCGTTTATAATAATAATATTATTTTAAATATACTCATACAAAACAAATTTAAAAATTCTTCTAGCTTTCTTCTTCTTTTTTTTTTTTTTTTTTTTTTTCCCTTAAATTTAGTAAACGATTATTCTTATCAACTACTGTGAACTTTTATTTTCATTTAAAATAAAAGTTATTTCCATATCAGATTACTCTGAAAATCACTGAATAAATTGTATTTCTTCCTTTCTAAGTTTTTTATTCTGTTTCAAATAACGATTGTTTTTTGCATTTTCAATTATGAAATTTCTGCATAAGTTATTAAACTTTCTTTTTATTTTCATTTTAAATTATTGTGAAATCTATATCTAGGAGATGATATGATCTTTGAAGTATCTGATGGATTATGTCAATTAAAATTTGCTTCGTATTAAAAGAATTCTTTGGAAATTAATAATGCTCCATACATGGAAATTACAGAGATTTCAATAAATTCTAACAAAAAATATCTGAGGAACATTTTAGTGAATTTTTGCAGTTCTCTGAGGCAATTTGTTCAATAGATCGTTATTGCCATTTGGCCGAGTATACTGGGTATTCGACTCGGATTTGGCCCTCACGAAGGCAACTCTTCCCTCAGGCTTTGCTTGCAGTCATCTAAAATAAAGTCCGAATTTCAGCCTGGAAAATATGAGCATTTTCCTAATTTTTCGAGCGATAATGTATGAGCCAGTTTTCTAAGTTCCATAATGATGGTATCTCACCGCAAGGCTTAATTTTTGAAGTTAAATTATAAAAGTCGGAGCTCTGTTGAAGGTCGTCTGGGAAGGCAAATAAAATAATACATAATTAAAAAAAAACTGAAAGCTTTCAGATTTTATATTACGCCCAAAGGGGCGTTTGTTTAACGTTTTGTGTGTTACCTTTATTTCATGTTCTTCTTAATTAAACCATAAAATTCAATTCAACAGCAGTATCACAAAATATTTAAAACAGCATATCTTTAGAATTCCCGATACACAGTCTGGTGCGCTGGAGATAATTCCCCCCCCCGTACAGCGTTGCCATGGCCCGCTTTGAAATCGTTGGTTCTTAATGAAAAACTCATAAATGCTTTACAAAATATGAAATAGATAATAAAACAAATTTTAATTCAAAATTTGGCCATATTTGGGTGGAGACGTAAGTTATTCAAAATTGGACGGTTCTAGGTATCATTGTTTTATCACAGCGCCAGAAACATAGCATACATTTATGCAGATTCTTCATTATTTAATTTCTTTAAATACAACACAAGGCGTAATATTTGTGGCAACAATTCGAAAAGTGATTCGCTGTTTCTAGTGAATCAACTCAAAATGCCAAAACGAAACTACAAGCCTTTCTGAGCTAAGAATATAAAAATATAAAAAATAATAATAATAAATTAAATTAAGATTAAATAGTTAAATAGTAATTAAAATAGTAAATATTCCTTATCTGGGGCTTCGGCCTGAATTGTGATTTTCCTCTAATCGCTGCGATTGAAATCAGATCCCTGCACCGGTGCAGATAGCCCTTGCACGCTTTCTACTATTGACTAAACCAGAGGTTCTCAAATTGTTTGAATTTTACCCCACAATAAAAACAAATCCAATATATATATATATATATATTAAACGGAACGTCATTCTACAATTATTTAAATCTTTTTGTAAAAATTGTGCCACCACAAATAATATAATGTATCATTACTGGTGCACGTACCCTAGTTAGAAAACTCTCGGACTAAATTATTCGAAAGTGAAAACTGAGGATATGATGATTACTTTTTGAGAAAGGAAACTGCAGTTTCGTTACACATTTAAACTTTACATCTGGGTAAATCATTCAGTTATCAGTACGGTGACCAGACGTCCTTTATTTCAGAGGACAGTCCTTTATTTGAAGGCTCTGTCCTCTAGTTATTTCCTGAAATTAGCGTATTGTCCTTTATTTTGAGAAATTTTTAATACATTACAAGCCGCATAGCTGTAAAATTTAACCTTTGAAATGAATGCTTGAATTTCCGACTTTTTGAAGCGTGAACCGGCACTTTTGCGAAAATCCATACATCTGGAAAGTATGAGCAATAAATTATTTAATATCCTATATTTACATATTACATTATTTAAACTCGTTGGAAATATTAATGTTGCTTCTATTGTTTTAAACCTTTGAATTACTAAGTTTTTTGGAGTTTTTTTTTATCAGGCGTCCATAAATATCGCAATATTGGGATAATTTTACCCTGCCCATCCCCAATCCATGTCACAATTTGTCACACCTTGGAAGACCCCCAATTACATTTGTGACGTCCGAACGCACGAACCCCCACCCCTACACAAAATTGAGCACGAATTTAAATTACCATAACCCCCCCCTCATGTCACGTTACAAGTGTCCTTTATTTTCTCCGAAAAAATATGGTCACCGTAGTTATCAGACAGATAAAGTTATCAGATATCCCGGATTGTGCGGATCACCAATCACCTATCGATGCACCAACTCGCGATAAACTGTCGAGACACTTCGACACTAGACCGGATCAACTCGATAGACTACGAGACACTCATGATCGACTGCTAAGAGACTCTGACGGGACACTCTACTCCGCGTACTCGCAGGATTTTTATAGCTTTCGGCCTGTATCATCGTAATAGGTATTGTAATTAAATAAATATTACTATACACGATCACTATATTAGCTGTTACTGTAATATGGACCTCATATAGCCTTCCAGAAATTTCGAGAAGCAGAGCGCCAAAGCGAGGACCCCCCGACCTGAAGGATGACCACGGGTCTTCCATACGGGGTTAATGTATCCAAGCTTCAGAGACCCCCCTCAGACCCCACAGTCTCTGCCCAACTTTATACGTAGCCTCGGACAAGCATCAAATGCTTTAGAAACTTAATACAAAAATATTCGCTGGGTCATCTTTGCCTCTGGGCACCACTCCATTGGCATCGAATAATCGTCTAGGTGCCTGGCCTTACTCCGTCAGTTTCCGCCACTGGGACTCTGGAGGCCAAACCCCATCGAAAAGGTCGAAGAAGTACTGTCTCCGGTTTAGTTTCGCTGTTATGTTTAACATTTATAGTAGTTTGAAGTGTAAATACTAATTGTACTCTGTGATATTGTGAAGAGTTGTAGGACCACCTTTGTGGAAGATTCAAGAACTCTGAAGTGTTTCTTTCGATAAAATAAATTTTATTAACTTATTGTGGGACCTGTGTGCATTTAATCCATTACGAACACATACACAGCAACACTTTTTGGTGTCAGAAGTGGGATTGAATGCCAGTGACAAAAGCATGGACAAGCAATTAAGATACCTGGTGGAAGCCTTTGCTGCACTCAAAAACAACAAGAAAGTTCACCAAGAATCTGTTAATGAGGAGATGAATGGTCTTCAAGCAAGCAAGAATCTGTTAAAGGGAGATGAAAGCTGTTCAAGAAAGATAGAAGGTGGTCAAGAATCCGTTAAAGCAGAGATGAAAGGTCTTCAAAAAAGATTGAAGCAGCTCAAGACGAAATGAAAAGAAAAATTACCTGCGAAATAGAAAGCAAATTCGAGGTTCTGGAAGGTAGAATAGACACGGTTGGAGACAGTTGGAAAAATCCAAGAAAGAGTTTCTGCGGTGGAAAAACAAATTGACGAATGAGTTTCTGCCGTCCAAGAACAAATCGAACAACAATTGAAAACAAGAAGTCAAAGAAGTAGAAAGCATGAAGCCAAACAAGTCGCCAAAGAAGTTGAGACTCTGAAGAAATTCGTAGCAACAGCAGAAAACAATTCTGATGGGTTTAAATTTTTATACATGTCATCTTGTTCCTCTCTAAAGTTATCCACATATGATGGTAAGACCTTCTGCAAGTACATAAGGCACAAATTTCTATAGTGGCGAAAGCGAATGGATGAGATTCCCATGCTAAGACCTGTCATTCCGCCGCTTCTCTGAGAACAGACGTCGCGGATATCGCTTGCTTAGACACTTCCCGGAAACCAAAGGCTAGATTTTGAATCTCTATCCGATGGAGCTGCGTTTTGGGAAGAAATGTTTAAAAGTCTATGGCAAGCTTCAATTAAAATCCCATCAACTACCCACGGAAACACTCCAGGAGCTAGCTCTTCACGGATGTTAAAAGGCTGTGTCACCTCGCCTTTTCGGAGTGCCTAACAGAAACAAAGGAAATCCTGTTCCTGCAGTAATTCATCGATGGCATCCGGAAAATTAAAAAAAATAAATAAATAAATAAATAAATAAATAAAAAATACAAAAATACAAAATACAAAAATGAAATGCAAAAAGCTCTACGAATGGCAGATGTCAAGGGTTTAAAAAGCGCTCTAGTGTAAGCCATGAAATTGGAGGCAATCAACTCGTAGAGTGCTACCTAATCAGAGCTGCTCATGTCCGGGAGCCAGTGGATCAAGTGACGGTTCACCCAGACCATTTAAAACCAGAAACACCAGTACCCTGAGACGGAACAGGAGTGGCAAAAACGTACCATAAAGTTCTGGAAATGCGGTACTGAAGGTCACGTACGAAGAAATTGCAGAACATCCCAGGGCATGGAAAATACGACACAATACACAAGACTTCACAGCAAGGGCGCAAAAAACAAATTAATGGCACCTCGCAGAGCGGAT